GGTGGGGGGGGGGTTTTAAGAGGTCGCAGTGCTGGTCTCTCCCAGTGTGCCATTTTCTTGCTGTTGCAACTACTGAGGGGTCCAGCTGCGGCAGGAATTCTAGTGGCCCCCTGGCTCTGTCCTGAGCTACCATTGAAAGGACCCAGGTGGACCCCTGAAGCTACATCATCCCTGCCTGGAATGCTGTCAGCTTTTCCCTGAGACCACCACATTCATCATCTTGCCTGAGACCCACCGCAGCAAGCCCTGCGGTGAGTGTATGCTTCCCTTGTGCTTATCTGGACTGCTTATGAACTGCCTTCAGGATTACAAACTGCTTTGGAGACTTTAACTTTGCCCACCGGGGGCTGGGATTACAAGTATTATGGACTTCTATCTCTCTCTCCACTACTCCCATTAAGTGACTGTTGACTGTTTTAATTATAGCTTTAAGTGTTTGGCCATCTGCCTTGTGTGGTCCCTGTCCTTCTTACGCTTCCATCACACTTACCGTTGCTTTCTCATCAGTCCGAAAGGATCTGGGCATCCTGGGGTGCTTTCGGCGTTGCCCTTGCTCCGGCTGAATCAACACCCTCAAAATGGACACCTTACTGAAAACATTACTATAACGATTTCCAGACTGTAACCAATTACTGTCCCATAAGAGTTTTTCTTCCTCTCCCTAAAAAAAAAACATTCCCTTTCAATTTAGATTTAGTTGGCGGCCAAGGTTTTTCTCACGATTAAAATATATCGGGTGCTTCCATACCCGAAGTCCGGAGGAAGAGTAGGTTTACTGGACTTTGAACTATACTACAGAGCCATTACTGCTGGCCCGGATTCCCTTGACTGGTTTCCCCAGGCCCTTCCTTAAGCCTCTTGTCTGATTCGAACAAGATTTGTCTCCGTATCGTCGATCCTTCGGGCTTCTCTGTGGGGTTTATAGTCGACGACCACCGGCGTTTTCTCGGCCTGTCCCCAGTTGACTGTGGCTCTGTAATGCGATTGTTCATGGTACCTACGGGACACTGGTTGCTCTATTTATCGTCTGATCCCTCTCCCTTTATCAACCCAGTTAGACAACCCTGCCTCTCCCTCAGGGCTTGGGCTCTTCTGTAATTGGTCCCTTTTACAACGCACCTTATGGCCGTAGCCCGAGACTTTATCAGCCCTCAAGTTCAGGGTCTTCCGCTCCTGCGGGGGCGGGGTTCTCAGGGGATTAGGTTGACCACTTTACACTTATCCACATTTTGCAAACTCCATCTACACATCTTCTTGCGCGACATTCATCGTCTTCACATTACTGAAGTTTGAGCGGCTTATGCTCCCTCTCTAATCTGCCTAGACATGCCTCTCACCTCCTTATATAAAGAGTCTAAACAATGCTCTTTATTCCGATCTCCCCTCCCTACACCAAGGCGTGGCGCGAGATTCTCGATAAAGACATCCGTTGCGATGCTGACTGGGTCCACGTCATTCTATTTCACGCTCTATTTATTGATATTCACAAGAAAAGAACTTTAACCATTTGCCCCCTGCCCTATGGCCGAATGGCTGAACGGCAAATGTCCTTCTGCGTTCCGGGTGGAGAACGCCATATGGCGTCATCCTGACAGGCGCAGATTGCACTCCCTGCAGAGCCACGCGAGTGGCCGGTGATATGTCCACCGGCGTGTACCTCAGACAACAGCCGATGACAGATCTGAGTATCGGACCCCATTGCCGTACGGCTACATGTGACCTGCTGTGACCAATCACAGCAGGTCACATGACAGTTGTATACAATGGATGGCTTCATTCATGCCATCCATTGTATACTAGTGTCTAGCTGTGAATGGTCACAGCTAATCACATGCACATGTCATGTGATTAGCTGTGGCCAAATCACAGCTAAGCACAAAAAAAAACCCTGAATGAATCGATGTCATTCAGGTAAATGCTTGCTTATAGCAAAGTAATTCTTTTGCTATAAGCAAATTGGGTGTAAAAAAAAAAAAAAAAATATACTGATCACTCACATAGTGAAATATGAAAATTAAAAAAAAAAAAATATATATATATATATTTTTTCATACTGTCACCAGTCAGTGTCCCTGATCACCGCCATGCCAGTTGTTATATGATGACGTGTTTTGTACTGCACTGGTGACAGTATGTAAAAAAAAATAGTGAAACTAATTTTTTTTTAATTTTTTTCATTTTCTGAAAAATGACAAAAAAAAAACAACTTCCAAAAACTCGCCATGCCTCTTATGAAGTACGTTGGACTGTCTACTCTGCAAAAAGGGGTCATTGGGGGATATCTTTACTATCCTGAATTTGGGGGATATCTGTACCGTCCTGACATTTGGGGGATATCTGTACCGTCCTGACATTTGGAGGGATATCTGTAACCCGTCCTGACATTTGGAGGGATATCTGTACCGTCCCTGACATTTGGAGGGATATCTGTACCGTCCCTGACATTTGGGGGATATCTGTACCGTCCTGACATTTGGGGGATATCTGTACCGTCCTGACATTTTGGGGATATCTGTACCGTGCTGACATTTGGAGGGATATCTGTACCGTGCTGACATTTGGGGGATACCTGTACCGTCCTGACATTTGGGGGATACCTGTACCGTCCTGACATTTGGGGGATACCTGTACCGTCCTGACATTTGGGGGATATCTGTACCGTCCTGACATTTGGGGGATATCTGTACCGTCCTGACATTTGGGGGATATCTGTACCGTCCTGACATTTGGGGGATATCTGTACTGTCCTGACATTTGGGGGATATCTGTACTGTCCTGACATTTGGGGGATACCTGTACCGTCCTGACATTTGGGGGGGGATATCTGTGCTGTTCTGACATTTGGGGGATATCTGTACTGTCCTGACATTTGGGGGAGATCTGTACTGTCCTGACATTTGGGGGATATCTGTACTATTCTGACATTCTTGGACCTCAAGAAATTAGAATCGGCTGTCAGTACTTCAGGGGGACTGATCAATATTCAGATCTATACATAGTTTGTGAACTCTATAACTTTCCTAGAGACTAAATAATACATCCTAATTTGGGTTATGTTCACCAAAGACATGTTAGCAGAATACATCTCGGCCTAAATTTATGAAGAACGATTATTTATTTGCAACTTTTATAACAGAAACAAAGAAAAACGTGTTTTTTTCAAATATATTTTGTTTTTTTTTGTTAATTTAGCAAAAAATAAAAACCCAGTGATGATTAAATACCACCAAAAGAAAGCTCTAGTTGTGTGAAGAAAATGATAACATTTTAGTTTGGGTTACAATTGTTGTATGACCGCGCAATTGTCATTCAAAGTGTGAGAGCGCTGAAACCTGAAAACTGGCCTGGGCAGGAAGGGGTAAAGTGCCCCGGTATGGAAGGGGTTAAGCTCCTTCTTTGATGGTACAGAGACCCCGTCTCTTTACACAGAATAGTTCCTTGTACATCCAATCTATGCTGGGGCTGTACCAAAGCTCCATATCTGGTGGGACTGCAACCTAATACACCCCTTCTGGTGACAGGTCTTTGCTCTATATGACAAGATTTATGGTGGTCCTTGACCCCCTCCCCGGAAATTGCTCTCCTCTCTATCTTACCGGGTTCACTGGCTGTGCAGAAGAAAAATTTGCTGTGTTTACTCTTCTATCCGTTGACCTGCCAATTGATACTCTCTCTTTTGGAAATCGGATACTCCCCCGCCTCTCCCCCTGTGGGTCTCGGTACTTAATTGATACCATGTGTATGGAGGAAATGCTGGCATTTGCTAATGATACCTACGGTAAACACAAGTTGTGGTCAGTCTGGCCCCATTTCTCTCCTCTTTATTACTCCGAGACTTGTGTTCCCTGTTGTGCTTTAATGGAGTCGTGCCCCCACTCCCCCTGCTGTGTTCCTCGGTGAGGCTCTGTAGTCCATGCTGGGGTACAACCAGGGGGATCACCCTGCTGGGATACCGATGGATGGTCAAACCTTGTCTGCAGGATGTGTCACCATGCCTGTCTCCTGACTCTCTCCCTTTACTTTCCTCTCTTCCTTCAATATCTTTCCATGTGATGGAACCCTTCTCCTTCCCTCCCCCTTGTTGCACTTGTCACCATGCCTGTCTCCTGACTCTCTCCCTTTACTTTACTTTCTTCTTCAATATCTTTCCATTGATGTCTCCCTTCTCCTTCCCTCCCCCTTGTCATCTGCAAAAACAAAACACTGCATGACTATGGGGGTCACCATGCCTGTCTCCTGACTCTCTACCTTTACTTTCCTCTCTTCCTTCAATATCTTTCCATCTGATGTTATTCTACCCTTCTCCTTCCCTCCCCCCTTGTCTGCACTGTTTTGATTTGTCACCATGCTGTCTCCTGACTCTCTCCCTTTACTTTTCCTCTCTATCCTTCAATCATCTTTTCCATCTGATGTACAACTCCCTTCTCACTTCCCTCCCCCCTTAGTCTCCTTTGCTCACTGATTGGGTATATTTTCCTAGGCAGGGGTATGATTTTGTTATGTTGAATATCACCAGTTTGGGGACACCTATTTTGTAGCTCTGGTTGGATACGCATTTCTCCATCCCCATGAATACAACTACTAACTATATTAGTGCTTTATTCAGCCCATTTTATGTAATTACAACAGAGTTCTTATATTGTGCCTGTATGTATGTTTGAATGATCCAACAACATATAAGACATATTTGCCTTTTAAAGTATATCATTAGTGCAGAGGTCAGGAGTATGTAATGTACAACATAGAGTATATAGTGCAGGGGTCAGGAGTATGTAATGTACAACATAGAGTATATAGTGCAGGGGTCAGGAGTATGTAATGTACAACATAGAGTATATAGTGCAGGGGTCAGGAGTATGTAATGTACAACATAGAGTATATAGTGCAGGGGTCAGGATCGTATGTAATGTACAACATAGAGTATATAGTGCAGGGGTCAGGAGTATGTAATGTACAACATAGAGTATATAGTGCAGGGGTCAGGAGTATGTAATGTACAAGTTATATAGTTATAAGGGTCAGGACTCTCAGTATTAGTATTCTGTAATCAGTGGAAGCTTAAATGTTTACTGTAGACAACATGTAGAGGTGAGCTGGGATTAAACCATCATGAAACAGGTTAGATTGGAGGTGAGCAAATCCTTGGACAGAGGGGTGGCGGTGGATGTGGTATACTTGGACACAGGGGTGGCGGTGGACATGGTATACTTGGACAGAGGGTGGCGGTGGACGCGGGTATACTTGGACAGAGGGGTGGAGGTGGACGCGGTATATACTTGGACAGAGGGGTGGCGGTGGACGTGGTATACTTGGACAGAGGGGTGGAGGTGGACGTGGTTATACATGGACAGAGGGGGTGGCGGTGGATGTGGTATACTTGGACAGAGGGGTGGAGGTGGACGTGGTATACTTGGACAGAGGGGTGGAGGTGGACGTGGTATACTTGGACAGTTTGGGGGTGGAGGTGGACACGGGGTATACTTGGACAGAGGGGTGAGGTGGACACGGTAGGTATTGGACAGAGGGGTGGAAGTGGACGTGGTTATACTTGGACAGAGGGGTGGAGGTGGACGTGGTATACTTGGACAGAGGGTGGCAGTGGATGTGGTATACTTGGACAGAGGGGTGGGGTGGATGTGGTATACTTGGACAGAGGGGTGGTGGTGGATGTGGTATACTTGGACAGAGGGGTGGTGGTGGACGTGGTATACTTGGACAGAGGGGTGGCTGTGGACGTGGTATACTTGGACAGAGGGGTGGCGGTGGACGTGTATACTTGGACAGAGGGGTGGCGGTGGACGTGGTATACTTGGACAGAGGGGTGACGGTGGACGTGGGTGATATACTTGGACCAGAGGGGTGGCAGTGGACGTGGTATACTTGGACAGAGGGGTGGCGGTGGACGTGGTATCCACTTGAGGACACAGTTCCCCACATGGTCACGGCTGATTATGTGTAAGGTAAAGTCTATGGGCCTGGAAAAAATCTGAATGTTAAATGGATAGAAAACTGGCTAAAAGATCATATTCAGAGAGTAGTGGTTAATGATTCATACTCTGAATGGTCTGGGGGTGTCAGTGGTGTACCCCAAGGTTCAGTGTTATTAGTGGGGTACCCCAAAGTTTCAGTGTTATTAGTGGGGTACCCCAAGGTTCAGTGTAATTAGTGGGATACCCCAAGGTTCAGTGTAATTAGTGGGATGACCCCAAGGTTGTGTCTTCAATGAAGGGGATTATCTGGGGTACCCAAGGTTCAGTGTTGGGACCCAACTTAATAATATATTTATAACCTCAATATCGGTATCTGTGTTAAAAATCCAGGGGGATATGATCTCCATGTATAATACATAAGGGGGCTATATATGATCTCCATGTATAATACATAAGGGGGATATGACTCCATGTATAATACATAATGGGGGATATGATCTCCATGTATAATACATAAGGGGGGATATGATCTCCATGTATAATACATAAGGGGGGATATGATCTCCATGTATAATACATAAGGGGGATATGATCTCCATGTATAATACATAAGGGGGATATGATCTCCATGTATAATACATAAGGGGGGGATATGATCTCCATGTATAATACATAAGGTCGGGGGGATATGATCTCCATGTATAATACATAAGGGGGATATGTATCTCCATGTATAATACATAAGGGGGGATATGATCTCCATGTATAATACATAAGGGGGATATGATCTCCATGTATAATACATAAATTCATGGGGGGGATATGATCTCCATGTATAATACATAAGGGGGGATATGATCTCCATGTATAATACATAAGGGGGGATATGGGATAATACATAAGGGGGGATATGATTCTCCATGTATAATACATAAGGGGGGATATGATCTCCATGTATAATACATAAGGGGGGATATGATCTCCATGTATAATACATAAGGGGGGGATATGATCTCCATGTATAATACATAAGGGGGGGATATGATCTCCATGTATAATACATAAGGGGGGATATGATCTCCATGTATAATAACATAAGGGGGGATATGATCTCCATGTATAATACATAAGGGGGGGGATATGATCTCCATGTATAATACATAAGGGGGGATATGATCTCCATGTATAATACATAAGGGGGATATGATCTCCATGTATAATACATAAGGGGGGATATGATCTCCATGTATAATACATAAGGGGGGATATGATCTCCATGTATAATACATAAGGGGGGATAGATCTCCATGTAATAATACATAAGGGGGATATGATCTCCATGTATAATACATAAGGGGGATATGATCTCCATGAATAATACATAAGGGGGATATGATCTCCATGTATAATACATAAGGGGGGATATGATCTCCATGTATAATACATAAGGGGGGATATGGGAATGATCTCCATGTATAATACATAAGGGGGATATGATCTCCATGTATAATACATAAGGGGGATATGATCTCCATGTATAATACATAAGGGGGGATATGATCTCCATGTATAATACATAAGGGGGATAAGAAAACCCATGTATAATACAATAAGGGGGGATATGATCTCCATGTTATAATACAACGGGGGGGATATGATCTCCATGTATAAATACATAAAGGGGGTGATACTGATCTCCATGTATAATACATAAGGGGGGGATATGATCTCTCCATAGTATAATACATAAGGGGGGATATGAATCACCATGTATAATACATAAGGGGGGATATGATCTCCATGTATAATACATAAGGGGGGCGATATGATCTCCATGTATAAATATCATAAGGGGGGATATGATCTCACATGTATAATACATAAGGGGGATATGAATTCTCCATGTATAATACATAAGGGGGGATATGATCTCCATGTATTAATACATAAGTTGGGGATATGATCTCCATGTATAATACATAAGGGAGGATATGATCTCCATGAATAATACATAAGGGGGATATGAACATCCATGTATAAATTTACATTCAGGGTTGAGGAGTAATTATGTATCACCTTAATTGGTATAATACATAAGGGGGGGGAATATGATCTCCATGTATCATATAGCATAAGGGGGAATGATCTCCATGAATAATACAGAAGGGGGGATATGATCTCCGATGTATAATACATAAGGGGGGATA